CGCAGATTATTACACGGCCACCTTCTTAACTTTGTTGCCCAGTGCGGATAATAATTAGTGTCAAGAATATAAGGGTTACGACTATTATAAGAGCTATTATCGCACACGTTTCTCCTATTACAAACCACTTTGGATGCGCGAATGAACGCCAAGTTAATTGCTCGAACTGATTTGCAACTATTATGGCATCATAATTAGACACAAATGTGGCCGAGGGTTCGGCATCTCGAAACGAACCCCATTTGTCAACCTGTCAGGTGTCTCGAACTTTGGTGTTTGCCCAGGGTCATTGATCTTTCCGGAGGAGTCTCCTCCATAGATGCTTTGCACTCACCTGGCACCCCAGAAAAGTCGGATGATTCCCCAGAGTGATTTGCTAGTTGCTATTTAGCTTTGACAAATACTCGACTTGTTTGGTCCGACGGTGTGACCTCACAACACATGATAACTAACCTAAGTTATTCTGTGAAACGTACTTAATATTTACTTGGATATATAAGCAACCGAGTGGAGAGGAAAAGCTGGGATGTAATGACCAAACGGCTTGCAAAATGACAAATTGCGCACCACACTGCTTCGCTTGGCTTTTTAATGCATTTTTTAGCAAAAACAAGTGAAGTAGAAGTAGAAAATAGCAAGTGCTGATAAGTTGATTCAAGCATGAAGAGAAAAAAAGTTGAAATAAAACGGGGGAAGGAAAGACAAGCGATAAGCAGTGCAGAAAAAACAGAAATAACAAAACAAGCTCCGGTTGTAATTAGGTTATCGGAGTTTAGAATTTCCTTAGGGAATTGGATATGTATGTGCCATTCCCACAAGTATGCATATTCATATATGTTGGTATGAACATATAATAATAATGGTTCCACGTTGAAATACGTTGAAATACATCTGTGCTTTATTATTATTACATACTAACGTCTGGGAAATTAATTGATCATGAATAGTGAAAATGCTAATTAGCACGTCTTCATGGTTTTATTTAACTGCTTAACAATTTTCTTTGGGGCGAAAGAATATATTGTTTTTATGGGTCTATATGAGCACTAATAAGGAAGTACTAAAGATCCTCTGTTTAGAGTGTGTTGTGATATTGATTGGTTAATAGTTCTGTTTTAGGATTATAAATTGACTTACTAAATAGTAATAATAACTTGGGTATTAGGCTTTGTTCGTAGAATGCTGCATAATTCCGATTATTCGCACCTTTCCCAGGCCAGGCCTCTCACACACCCTAATTACCACCCAACCCTCTACAATCACCATCCATTTAAGAATTCCTAAACAACGTATGCTTTTGCATACCTATTACCTTTTTGCCATGTCTGCTGTTCTTTGTTTTAGCCACTTTGTTTTGCTGGCTCTTTCGCGGCTATCAGGTCTCAATACTTGTTTGCCCGGTAAGCTCTTTTGCGCTGGCTCCTCTTTTCTTTTTGCCTTTGGCTTCTTTTTGTTTTGAGGCCGGTTCTTTGGTTTCGACTGCCTGCCATAAACTTTTAACTTTTCGGGCCCAGAGAAACCAGTTGATGCATAACCGTTGCGGAACATGTTCGCTGCCGTTCCTCAAGCCAAAGTACGTGTCCTCTATAAGTCTACAGTTCTTTAAATGGTTCTGTGGCTGTATATTAAAAAATAAAAAAAGAGCTAAAATAAAGTGAAGTCTTAAGCTTCTATCGTGTCAAAATAGTCACTTCCAGATATTTACGTTCTTGAAACGATTAAAATAATGAGCTCACACCATGTCTTTAAGACCATCGTCCCATCACAAGGACAGTCTAATATCATAGTCTCGCCTTCACCAAAAGCGATGGCCCCGTCAGATTCGTCGGAAATCAATTTCAAAGCTGCTGCCAGTCAATTATAATGAACTCTAAATTAAACATTAAAAATAGATAGCTAGTAATAGGGCTGTGCTATCTTATCTGCATCGGAGAGAAAACGAAAACAAATTGCAAATCTTGTTGTGCAAATATTTCTGGTCAACTGAAATTCAAGCCTTGTGTCGTGACTGAATTCGAGGGGGAAACTCCCCTGGGAATTATTTTCTTCCCTGTCCGATTGTGTTTACGACTCCTGACAAAACAAGAGGTCGTAAACATTAATTGCTGGTATATGGCGCCTATATAGATCTTATCCGGAGTGCTACTGATTTTGAGATGTAAGCAAAGTGGCCTGCAATGATTTCTGGCAAACATCGTAAAGATAGCAAGTTTTTAGTTGTTTAATTTATGTGCATTAAAATGGAACACCAGACTAACGCACTTATCGGTCCAATGTCGGTTAGCTTATCTTACTCTTCTTAGCAACGACGTGATTATACTATAATTAAATTATTAAAAATAACATTTTACAAGGCTTAGTTGATTTTCTTTAATTACAATTCCAAGAATATGGTATTTGTGTTCTCCCCCAGGCAGTTTTGTTCAAAGCACTTTTCAGATAAGCCACGCGATATTGTTGCATTTGAGAGTTTGAAATGAGAGAGCCATTTGTCACCGTATATTATATTTAATACAATTTATTGTATTCTCTGTTGCCCGATCTCAAAGCCAGATACTCGATATAAGCCCTCTCTCCGTGGATATAATATATGCGACTCTCTTTTCCGCCGAGCAAACTCACGACTTGAGCTGAGTTAATTTGAGCGAGCGGCAAATAAATATATTTTCGCTGGCGGCCAATAAAAACGGTTGGTCTGAACCCGCTGGCAGTTGGCTTTTAAACGCGCTACGCCAAAGTCGGTCAAGTCGGCGGAGTTAATCGCCCGCAGCATCTCTGCTATACAAACGCAGCTAGACGAACCCATTTTCCTGCAGAGCAACGGACGATAAAGATTCTGATTCGATCAACAATTGTGCCGAGCACGTGCCCGAGTGGCGTATACTTGATATTGCGCATACGCCACCTGCGTCGCCGTGAGTCGAGGGACTCTAGAGCCTCTGTGATCCCAAGAAGCTCAAGCCAATTGATTGAAAGTGACAACAAGCCCGGTGACAAAAACTACATGAAGATGTGCGAATTGATTGTCAGTCATGGACTCGACCGCGAGGTAAAAACATCATTAGTGCGGGCACGAACACATGATTCATGTGATTTCCCAGCTGTTCAATATGGGTTTTCATTAGTTTCGAAAGGTTTATATGGCTGCCAACTCTGCGCTCGGGCTCCACTGAGCTCGTGTTTTGAAGTGCTCGGCAAATGTATAAACCTATATGCGATATGTGTACCAACCAGACTGTCATTGACGTTTGACTTTGGCTCTCTCCCGTCGAATGTCCCGCTCTGATCTGCGATTTACAGCTGACCCTCGTTGAGGTGCGTTGGAAATCGTTCTATTTCGGTGTCTGTGAAATTGCGTTCTGTTTTTAATTGCGGTGGGCCTCGGAAAATTGCAGTCACGCCTCACTTGCGGGACTCTTTTGTCCCCATCGGTCTGTCGCAAAAATTGAATAAAATTGGCAATGTCTGGCGATCGAAATGAGTTTCCGATCTGTTTCACTGACCCAAATTGAGCCTCGCCGAAAGCAACACACTCGCATTCAGATCTCGCGACGACCTTCCATGCAGCTCAGCTATCTGCGACTATCTGACTCTATCGCAGATCTTATATCAGACTAATTGCAGGCGAGGTCGTCTGTCGCAGTTGAGATTGCTCGGGGAGTTCTTTGGTAATTGGTTTGAAGCCTAGTATATCGGCACTCGATGCGAATCAAAGTCAAGGCACAGTACTCCTATAGCGCCACTCAGGGGTTCTTCAACTCGAGTGTATAGCCCAAAGCTAATCAATCACCCGCGAGGATCGAGATTTAATCAGGCCCCCTACTGCGACTCCGAAATGCGAATACGACCTGCTGCATATTTTCCAAATTACTTTCGTGATATAAGCGCTGTAGTATTCGGCGAGTGGGTTTTGTTTTTGGGCCTTATCAAGACTTGCTAATGGTTGAATCACGGCCATCAAAAGCGGAGAGTCGGACGAGAGATTGCCTTGACTTTAAGATGGTTTCGGAAATGTGAATGATCTCACGTCTGAATAGAGCACAGGTGTTGGCTACTTACCGATGCGGGGGTGCTGTCTCCCTCCACAGGCAGCACTAGATGTATGCAAAACTTATGAAAACACCTATATCAAATGAGAAACAGAGTTTATTTTGGTAATTCGTACGAAGACAATTAGCACAATCATTGACGTCACTAGCGAAATGTTCACACGCTGTCAGTGTCGAAATTGTCACACCCAGCGACAATACTGAAAACAGTGTGTAGTAGCTAAAACAAAGTTCGAGTTCGGTGGGACTGCTCGCAAGAATTAGTCAGAGCGGCTAAGTGAATTTCACATGAAGGTGTAGCTTTGCTGCTATCAATCGATGGTAACATAAACAGCTTTGGCGATCAGAAACTGAGATTCCTGGCAGATTAGATTGTATTGAAATTAAACTCGCTCGTCACAAACACCCAGTTCTTGGGGTGGTAATGCTTAGTTCCTCGAAGAAACCTGAATCAATCGGTTGTCCGTCATGGGATTGCACGAAAAGCTGGTGAAGTTTCACCATCATCACAAGCGGTGTCCTCGTCAGCGAAGTTTTTCGGTAAGATTGGGATGATCTAGATAGTTGCCGACATTTCGAATTATGTGGCCTACATAATTGGACTTACCTTAATTATTTTCACTGAACTCTGCTCTCAATACATCACGGCATTCCTAAAAAATAGTTCATATTGTCATTTTGGAGTAGATAGAAAAATAAAAAAAATGGTTTTGTTGGTATATTAAATCCAATAAAATATACCAATGAAGACGCTTTATACCAAAATTAAAGAATACTGTGGAAAGTAGATTTCATTAATAAGAAAATGAGTTCCATTTAAGATTTAATTTTTAGAATTGGATTTCTGTCAGTAAAATCGTGAACATTTTGGGATTTTTAACTTTCGCGTTGACTTTCACTCATGGAAAGTTAGAAATGTTCTGTGTCATTTAAGGAATACAGCCTATAAAATGGTGTTTCACTAGCAGGCGTTGCCATTGCCTTCATCGGGTTTCATCCAGCGGCTCGTTGATCAGTTTCATTTCGTTGCCAGTCAGTGTTTTATTTCGTTCCTTAGGAGTACAGAGCTCCCCAAAGTAAAAATTCGTAATTTTCAACCCAACCGGGTTTCATTCCGTGTTTCGTCGTTCGCTTCTTTTCGTTGGTCGGTAGCCCGTATCCCCCCAATCCCTGAAAGTGAGTTCTGTAGTCCGTCGGGGAGCGTGGTTTTCCGCTAAATTGATCGTGAATCGGTTGCCGGAATGAGTGGCCACCAGTGCAGCCTGGGCAAGCTGGCCCAGCGGGGCGCCAGCCTGCAGATGCGCGGCTTCTACCACACGCGGAGCAGGCCGTATGTGGTCCAGAGCTTGGGCCAGTTGAACCGGTCGAACCAGTGGTCACACGACCACTTCGAGCGCAGCCGGGTGCGCAAGATCGTGGGGGTGAAGAAGACGCTGGTCAACCAGATGCAGGGCATGGCCCCCAGCCTGGGGCCCTCGAAGGTGGCGCCCTACAAGATCTACGGCAGGACGCGGCTCTTCTCCTCCTCGAGCAACCTGAACGGTCGTTCGCAGCAGCAGCTGGAGGAGGACGAGGCGGAGCAGGAGTACTCCGACCAGGAGGACCTGCCGCCCCACACCACGGCCTCGTTGTCGGCCACCCAGAGGCGGTACAACCAGGCGGCGGGATTCGGCAAGGGCATGGCCATGCAGGCGGCCAGGGACATCAGCCAGTCCATCCAGGAGGAGCTGATGGTGGTGGACGCCGATACGCGGGACATGCTCAACTGCGATCCGGGTCGCCAGGCGGTGCGCGACTACCGCGAGCAGCTGGCCCAGCGGCCCAAGAATCCCCTCGATCCCATGCAGGGCTGGAAGCATCCGCGGCCCCTCAAGTACCTCTCAAGTACCAACCTGCCGGTTAGCAGCGGCAGCGCATCGGGGTCAGGGGGTCAGCCCGAGGAGCTGGAGGATCGCCAGGTGAGGCCACGCCGCCGCCAGATGGTCGTGAGCCACGCCAAGGCTCCTCCTTCGCTGGCGCAGCTCGAGATGCCCACCTCCAGTGCGAGGGAGAAGTTCTCGGAGCAGCGCAGCGAGCTGCGTCCGCAGACCAGTTGGCACCGGCCCAAGCCGGTCGTCGAGGAGAAGCCCGAGGATCTGCTGATGGACGTGTCCCTGGTGCGGGCAGTGCGCCCGGACATCACGGTGGCCAGGGGCCTCCAGCAGGAGGGCGAGAAGGCCGCCGATCCAGAGTCGTGGTATGAGCAGCCCAAGGCGGAGCGCGAGTTCCTCAAGAAGGCCTTCCTCGGCGGCGCCAGGAGTCGCCGGAGGGCGGGGCAGCCCGAGTCGGCCGACAATGCGGCCCAGATAAGCGCCTCCCAGCAGGTGATCAACCAGAAGTACGCCGGCTTCCGCAGGTCATCGCGCGGAAATCAGAAGCAGATGGTTCGCCAGATTGTGGAGTCGGTCAACCCGACGCCTCAGCTCAATCCGCATCCGCGGGCCGCGTCGGAGCCCCGGGAGACGCGCAGGAGGCGTGGCGTCGCCAGGCAGGGCGTCGAGCGACAGGCCGCGCCCAAGTTCTTCGCGGGAAGAACTGCCGGGGAGCGGGACGAGGAGGAAGGTGGGGAGGACAAGTCCAACTGGCCGTCGGCCAACCACCCGTTGCTTCAGATGCACTCGCGGAGCGACTCTCGCCTAGAAACGGACAGCAAGGGGCGTGGGAGCAGGAATGCCATGGGCGAACAGCGGGGGCCCAAGAAGCCGGTGGTCACTGAACCATCCGTGGAGCACAACGACATCGGGATGCCACCAGGATACAGAAAGGAGTCGGCCGTGCAGCGCCTGGGAAGTGTTTCCTCCAAGCACAACAGCCGTGCCTTCAACAGCTACTAATATTGAGCTTCCGCTCCACCTGAAAGAGTCCTCCTCCATTCCAATCCGCGTCCATACTTCTCCCAGCCCGGAAATTTACGCATCGAGTTGTCAAAATCCTTAGAAGTCAACCAAATTGAAGCATGACAGTCTCTTTGGCCAAAGTGTAGTAGTTTCATCGTAGAACCAAGTAACTTGAATAAAATCGATTACAGTTGTGTAAATTAGCTGCAGCGAATATATTTTCATGGATTTTTGTAATCATGTTTTTAGGTTTTTCGATCCAGTTTTGGGGATGGAAAGGTACCTAATACCTTTGGTTAAGAAACTCGGGGAAATTTCACCCAGCATCTTTCAGCATTGTAAAATAAACATCTTTGAGCCGTCCCAAGTGTTTTTCTTTCACCTCCGTTCACTCAGCTAGTGCCGATGCCAAGCGAGCCCTTTTCATTTGTAGTACAGTTTATAACCAAGACAAGAGTCACCCAAAGTCAGCAGACACAGTAAACTAGCACTGCACACCAAATGATATACTTTATATAACCCAACAACCTATGCAAAGCACCAAAGTTGAAAAGCCAAAACCCAAAATCCCTCCCCAAAATAAAACAGCATAAACTACTTTAAGTATCTTTTGGAAATGTAACTTAAGTTTGATTCGAAATTGATATTCTTGCTTTTGACTTATCGATTAGATTATGTTTAGTAGTTATCCACCCGAATATTGTGTATTGTGCTAATAGTTGCCTTCTCCCCTCAATCGTCCTTCAGGTGCTGTCAATGAGCACAGATGAATACCGCAAGACGTCACTCTTCGCCACTGGTTCCTTCGACCTGGACTTCCCCATACCAGACCTGATTGGCAAGACAGAAATCCTCACAGAGGAGCATCGGTAAGTTGTCACTTTCAGGGGATTTTACCCTTTCAAATGCAATTCTATAACCTACCTTTATCTCGAGCTGCTCTGGAAGGGAATTCTTTCTCAAAACCCTTGCGAGAATCTTAGCTAATAAACACTTTTTTTAATTTATAGCGAGAAGCTCTGCTCACATCTGCCAGCTAGAGCCGAGGGATACTCCTGGTCCCTGATCTTCAGCACATCGCAACATGGTTTCGCACTCAACTCCCTGTACCGCAAGATGGCGCGTCTCGAGAGTCCAGTTCTGATTGTCATCGAGGATACCGAGCACAATGTACGTTTACTAGACATAATATTTAAGATAATAGATCTACAAATCAGTATAAGGGAAGTTCACTAGCCTTGTGATAAATGATAGAGTCCTTCATGAGTGTACTTGAATTGACAAACATGCAGGACTTTAATAAATAATAATATTTTCATATTTGCGAAAGAATATATGCATTTTGATAGCTATAACAGTAGTATCACTTTTATAAGGCTAGTGAACTCCCTGCATTCGAGAGAGATATATGTATAAAGGGCTGCGATGTTACTGATTGCCACTTAATTCTGTTCGTGCTTAAAACGTAATAACCAGTCTGTTTTTGATTGTTTAGAATGAAATGCTAATTGGACAAATTCTTTTTTATTATCTGTTTAATAAACACATTAACAACATTTTTGATTTAAGACGAGTGAAGTAAAGATAAGAGTAATTAGAAATTTTAAAAAAACTTCACAAAAAGAAATGCAGCACTTTGAGATGAAAACAAATTCTTGATGCAATTTAAATTCCAAAACCTACTACAAATTGATTGAATACAATAAATGTTTTTTTCAGGTATTTGGTGCCCTGACCTCCTGCTCGCTGCACGTGTCGGATCACTTTTACGGCACTGGCGAGTCCCTGCTCTACAAGTTTAACCCCAGCTTCAAGGTGTTCCATTGGACTGGCGAGAATATGTACTTCATCAAGGGCAACATGGAGAGCCTTTCGATTGGCGCTGGAGAGTGAGTTCAGGAGCCTTAAAAACATCCTTCGATTGCTAAAGCGTGCTTTAATTTTCTTTCAGTGGTCGCTTTGGCCTGTGGCTGGACGGTGATCTCAACCAGGGACGGTCGCAGCAGTGCAGCACATACGGCAATGAGCCTCTGGCGCCACAAGAAGACTTTGTTATCAAAACACTCGAATGCTGGGCATTTGTTTAAGTGAATTTCTGTTGTCAACAACAAACACATTTAAGGATGGGAGCGAGGGCCTCCTGCCTACCTATCTATTTAATTAATTATATGTACTTGTACTAAACACCAACAACCTGAGAAAGATGTCAAAAGCTAGTGTGCGTCTAGGGATCCTCCGGAACGGCCCACACAGCCCCAAAAACACCACAAAAAGGGAGGATGCAAAACACTGATCTGATCTGAAGGGAAATGCTTGTGAAAATTTCTGTTCTCGGAAGCAACATGCGAGTTAGCTATGCGTTGGAACGTATTAATTATTTAGTTTTTATATTATATATTATTAAACAAAAGCAACTAAATTATGTGTTAGACTTAAACAAAAACAGAACATGGGAAAACCCTGAAAGGCAGACAAACGACACGGAAATTTGAGCGAAAACAATTGAGGATAACATTAGAGGTCATCACACATCTCCATGAATTATATAGCACGCGCATACACCCACATACGCCCACACAAAACACACCTTTAAGTTAAGTTCTTATTATCGAAAAGTATAATCACCAAATTGTGAGAAGCAACATATGTATAGCCAAATTGCAGATTTTGATCATTTATCGTGCCTAGTTCTCTTGATTGATTTCAGTTTGCATTTAATTTCGATTGTTTGAGTTTCTTTATCGAGAGCACTGTGAGGAAAGCGAGCTGAGAAGTTGAGAAAAATAAAAAAGAATGTCGATATAATTTTTAGTGCAAAAGTGCTGATTGCAAGTAAAACTGAAAGCGAGGATAACTCTTAACGATTTGACTTTTATATACATGTAAAGCAGGAGCCGAGAAGAGCTGAGAGCGAGCGTTTTATTTTTTAGTTTTACACAATATACATATATTTAATTATGATTATTTTAATGCTAATGATGTTGACTTTTATGCAATTATACTAAAACAAAAACAGAAACAACACCAGAATGAAATACACAATATTATACAACCAAACTGGCCAAAGCAGAGGTTTTACTTCATCCCACACCCGATTGATCACTTGAACTTGTATCCTCGGTGTGCTGCACTTTTGTAAGGGTCGCAGGGCAGCAGAATTTGTTTTGTAGTTGTAAGTCTTCTCCGCAGATATCGGTCACACCCCCGTACATATACACAGATACTTCCGCAGCAGAATCAGACGGAGCTGTTGCTGCTGGAAAAGGTTTTGAGGAAATCAAACCAACAAACTTAAATGGCTTTATATCCCTTTTGAGATACAATTTCAGTATAACTATAAATAAATAAATTATATACATTGTACAATGGTAGAAACGTAAGTGTAATTTTTGTAGTGTATTTGCGCCCCAGCTCCCAATCGATTGTATTGTAAACTCCCAAAAATATAACGGCACAGCAGCCGACTCAGAAACATATTCTAAATATTCAAAAAATACACACAAGACGATTGAAGATAATTTGAGAGAACAAACGAAACCAAATTGCTGATATTTTACACTGAACAGAGTTCGAAACTAACGAAAAAGTAAAGTATATAAAACATTTCATTTCATCGGAGTTAAAGTTTTTACTGGTTTGAAAAGAGAGGAGAACTCACAAAGCAACGCACACAAGACAACAAAAGAAATTGAAAAACCTTAAATTGTAAAGATAATCCCAAACCCAGATAATCTCTTAGCATGCAACAATTTAGAAAAATTTAGCTGAAAATTTGCACGCACCCCAGCCCGAAAATTGAAATATACATATGAAAAATGAAGTAAATGGTGAACTATCGAGACTCACGCCAGTGAAGATGTTTTTAGATGTTATTTAAACGATCTTGACAGACAGTTGTGGATAGTATATTAACTCCCACTCTACACCCATTGAACCCAAATGAGAATCAAGTTGAAATTCCTGTTGTTATTGTGAAAACGGAAGACTTTCTTTTTAGGACTTTAGAGAGAGTCCAAACCAAACATTGGGAAGGCTTGTTTACTGAGCGACGTTATGATAACCAACACCCGAGAGATCGATTAGCTTAAAAATCACTCCTACTATACGCGAACTTCATTTAAATAACTTGAGACCAAAATGCGTTTACTAAAAGATATACTACGTACCAGGCGTAAACTCTCCGTCGAGACTTTCGTTCTTGGTCGAGCATAATATCATTAAATATTGAAATGTATACCGAACATTAGTTGGTTGACAACCAGTCAATTATGCCCCAACACTCAACCAAACTCACACACACGAGCTAGAAGCTTAATGGACTACATGAAAATCAAGAAACATTAATTTTCGCAGGCTGAGTCTGCGAAACCATATCGTTGAATTCGTAGATATTTTGTTGTGCGTTGAACAGAAATGAAGTGAACATAAAACCGAAAAGAGCGCGAGGCGAAATTAATGAAGATAATTTTATATTGTAACTTCTGTCAATTAAATTGTAGACTGGTGCATAAACCAAGCGAAAACCAAATAACTATGCCGCTCATATTGTTGTTGCAGCAGAAAATTGTTTGAGCCATCAATATCAATGCATGATTATATTGAGGCCGATAGTTCTGCTCCCCTTAAGTTTTTGTTGTGAGTTCAATAAGTGCTTAGATTTGTGTAATGTATTCAGGCATACATGAGTACCCAGATTTATATCAATGCTAAAGGCCAGTTAATTAGTGTGGAATTATCCCCAACCTAGTGCGATAACGAGAACTTTTTCCGCTCAGTGTCTGCAATTCCGTGCTTTGCCCATTACCAATGTTGAGTAGTTTGCAAACGTTTCTAGTTGTTGTGCACTGAAAATTAACAAAATGTAATTCGCACAATTCGACAAGATATTCAGGATACGGAGGCGATAACGCCAGCTAGTTGCGCCAGATATCCAATATACACCTTCTTAGAGATATAGATTTGCGATTGTCAGGAGCTGAAGGACCGCTTTGGATCCGCCGCTTATTTGAGTTACCCTTATAGAATGCTGATTGTAGAACCGAACGATTGTATAAACTCCACTTAGAAGAGAGCACAACTCTATCCTTGCCACTACCAAAGGTCCACGACACATAGCTATGTTATATAGGGGATTGGACGAGCAGGGGGTTTTACAGAGGATCGGGAGATCGGGAGTCAGGGAGAAGAAGAGTGGATGCAGCAAGTGGTTTATTTTTCTACCAACAGATTGCAAGCAATTGAAACACATAGTTGATTAACACAGGCCGACAAAATGTGACATGGGTAGGTGTCCAGGCCTGCCACCATTTTATTTCGATAAATTTGGCTTTTCTAAGCATAAGTTGCCACTAGGCCTATAGTCCATCAGCTCTGGTATTTGCGGTATCTTTAATTTAAGAAAATCACAAATTTTCTTCGTCTTTTGGGATATATCTTCAAGAGTGGTCAACCAATTTTGGTAATCTTTTCGGAATTAAATAGTTACATGTCTCTTTTATACGGTCGTTTTGGAAAATTCAATCTAACTCAACCACAAGAGGAGGTGGGCGCATTCAAAATTTAAAAGTCACAGAAAAGTTTAAAAATCTTCATTTGTGAACAGCGTTTAAAAATTAAATAAAAATATTTTCTTCCACGATGCATTTTTGATCCAAAGACACCTTATGACCTTAATTTTTAGGACACTCATCAGGTTTTTGTGAATTGTTTTGGAATTTTTAAAATTGTTTTTCTTCCTTCCTTCACAGTGACGGTTCACAAACAGTGCCCAAACCTGTCACAATTTTAATTAACATATTTCTAAACGATCTAAGTAGTTTTGCTTTGAATATAAGCACATGAGCGTAGCCTACTAATCTTTGGGGGCTGAAATGCCTGAAGTGTAATCCCCCTCCAGCTTTTAACTTACGCCCATGTATAAATATTTTTAAAGGAAGGGTAACTTGTGCTCAAAAATAGTTATGCGTTACGTAAAATAGTGACAGGTTTGGGCACTGTTTGTGAATCGTCACTGTGAAGGAAGGAAGAAAAACAATTTTAAAAATTCCAAAACAACTCACAAAAACCTGATGAGTGTCCTAAAAATTAAGGACATAAGGTGTCTTTGGATCAAAAATGCATTGTTGAAGAAAATATTTTTATTTAATTTTTAAACGCTGTTCACAAATGAAGATTTTTAAACTTTTCTGTGACTTTTAAATTTTGAATGCGCCCACCTCCTCTTGTGGTTGAGTTAGATTGAATTTTCCAAAACGACCGTATAAAACAGACATGTAACTATTTAATTCCGAAAAGATTTCCAAAATTGGTTGACCACTCTTGAAGATATATCCCAAAAGACGAAGAAAATTTGTGATTTTCTTAAATTAAAGATACCGCAAATACCAGAGCTGATGGACTATAGGCGTAGTGACAACTTATGCTTAGAAAAGCCTCATTTATCGAAATAAAATGGTGGCAGGCCTGGACACCGACCCATGTCACATTTTGTCGGCCTGTGTAATCGACGAACAGCAGCCATTACCTAAGTCGTGTGTATATACGAGATATATCTACCTACATACATATATATATTTTTGGAAAGCAAATCAAGTGTATCTTCATGATATCGGCTAGCTGTATTCAGGTCGCGGCCAAGTACTAAGCATATTTGCAAACGATATTGATCAGTGTAAATGTTAAAAATAAATCGAAAGTTCGCACGTTTGCCTTGGTTGTCTGGTTCGAATGGAGTGCATTCGTTGTTCTTTAGTTATTCTGAACATTATATAGATATCGGATTAATTCATGTGTGCAACTTGTATCGTACCTATAATATTGCATTCCAACAAAAGCAAAATCAGTAAAACAAAAAAAACACATGAGCAGAGTAACAAGAGAATATATATAAATATGCTATATGTAATTGTAAATTCATTAGACAAATGAACAACTTTTCCGAAAAATAAAATGTATATTCAAATATCAATGAATCTCATTATTTTGGGTTGTAAAAATGGGGGTATTCAAGGCCTTTCTCTCACGCCCATTTAGGGTCTGCGTATTGGCATTAAAGTAATCTATCGTGGGTGTCACAAGAATCTCTTCCAACCAAAGAGGGTTGGTTTTGTTTATTGATAACTATAACGGATTTTGGTTGAAAATAATTTTTGTGACCAGAAATTTTGAAATAATAAATTAAAATTGTTTTTTTTTTCTTTAACTTGAAGCTATTTCTTTTTTATTTAGCATAAAAAAGTGGTTAGCATTATTTTCATTTTGAAAGCAAATTGAAATACATTTTGAGATGAGCATAAAAAAGTGGTTAGCATTATTTTCATTTTGAAAGCAAATTGAAATACATTTTGAGATGAGCATAAAAAAGTGGTTAGCATTATTTTTATTTTGAAAGAAAATTGAAATACATTTTGGGATGAGCAAAGA